GAGAGAGAGAGAGAGGCAGTGATGGAGAAAGAGGAAATAGGGGATGTGTAACTGAAGTAGGAGATGATGTGTACCAAAGGAGGCGGTAACAACAAAATGAGTAGGAGGCGATAGCAATGATGCAAGGAGGCAGCGGCAACAACGTGACGAGGCAACTACCAAGTTGGGGTGACTACTATAATTTAGGCAGAGGCGGAGCGAGAGATGAAAAGCTACAAGAGGGAGAAAGAGAGTTGTCAACAACTATTTACAGCATGAAGAGGAGAGGGTCTGTAAATATAAGTAAAAAGTTCTGAAATGTCTTGGTACTGAGTGGTAGACTTACCCTGCGCTAAAACTTAATACGGCTGACAATAATGATTGTATATAACAGTGAGTGTATAATTAATTATATGTGCACAAGTCTGATAAATTGTCATCAGGCTCCTTAGTTGCTGTGATCAGATAAATCAAAAGTTTAGGGAAAAGGCAATCTGTGAAGGATAATACCCTCATCTTATTCTTGTGTTCCTATCTTATCTTGTTAGTTTCCTTATTTCCAGAACAAAAAGATTTTTCGTCCTCGGTTCATAAGTCTCCTCATATTCCCTTCAACTAAGATTCTTCATTTCTTTTGTAAGATTGGTCATATTTAGCCCTAATGTATAACTAATATTTTCCTTGAAACTTTGTAGAGGATTTAATGATGACCACCAAATTTTGTCCACTATGAGATAGAAGTTCTGAAGTTGTAAGAAGGAACTGTGCATAAAGGTTATATTTGCATTAAGACAGTGTTGAATGGTTATTCTGAAAGACAACATGCCATCCCAAGGAAGTAGGATATATTCATATTGGATAAGATTGACTTTGTTCAATGTAAATGTTACAACAACAACAAAAAATAAGCAAAGAATCCTTGTCCCTTGTTTAAGCCCATTCATAAACATATGCTTTCTTGAAAATGCAATGATGATACTGTAATGTTACCTCAACATAGTCAATTCTCCCACCAGCTTCTGTTACTAATTGAATGACAAGACTTCTCAGTTCTTGGCATGTGCTTTGCTCATGTAGTGCAGCATACTTAGCTTTTGACAATGAGTTGTAGATGGACAAGGCCTAGGGGACAAAACAATACATGACAAATTAAATTTTATATCATGTAACTGTAAGAAAATCCTATGATGCCGGATCTCTAACAACAAAACAAAGTATTATACTAAGATGTCTAGTTTTGCAAAAGAAAAAAAAGATTTCCATTCTAGTCAGCACTAATTCGTAATAACTATAAAACAAACACAAGACTAATAGACATATTTGCAATTTACTATTTTCATTTCATATTGCAGTAACTTAAAGCTTCAAGCTGTCCCAGCTAACTCCATGGTCAACCTTTGTTGAAGCTTCAAATGTATCTTAGAGATAACAATTGTGAGATAATTGTGCCACATAGAATAAGAGGCAACAATATTATCATTTAGAAATATTATCATTTGTGGTGATTTGTCAAAATCTTCTTTCTTCTTTTACATATAAAATATCCTTCTCCTGTACTATCAAAAAATTCTCTCTAACCACTATAATAGGTTTCACAGACTGAGGTTAAATCACATGGATTTCGGCATCACAATGGATGCTAGAAATGGATCCATCCAACAATCAAAGGCTGAGAGATAACCAACCAACAATGAAGTAACCAACTTGAATGCTTTAATTAGAAGGTAGATGACAGATTAATCATATAGAAGAATAAGAAACGAAGGAAATGTTTGTTTATACCTCTAAGATGAGGCAAGAGATTGAAGATCATATACACGGCACCAGCACCAGAGGCTCCTGGTATGCATGAAAACTTCTACCATAAAAATGATAGGCTAATTTAATTACAAAATGCAAACTTCTCTGAGCTCACCAGAGCTCATATACATGGCACCAGCACCAGATGCTCCTGGTATGCATGAAAACTTCTACCAGAAAAATGATAACCTAATTTAATTACAAAATGCAAACTTCTCTGAGCTCACCAGAGCCAGTTGCTGCCACTTTGGCAGTACTAGAAACAATGGCCAGGTCACATTTTTTTAATGTCTCGTCAGAATGATTGCTCGATCTAAATATGAGCTACACAGAACTCATAGCCTCACACAGTAAAAAAAATCAAACAAAGATTACACTTAACAGAATCCAACTACTAAGAATCCTCAAGATTGGAAAATCTAAGATACTTTTAATTTTGACATGATGAATACTATAATCTGTTTCACATGACTCAAATGGCTCATGATTGCATAGCCAGATTATCATAGACTTCAAATGTTTCTAACTATTTAAAAAGAACAATGAAAGCTACACATGCACTTCGTTAATAGTATCAATAGTATGCACTACAAATATAGTAACACGAGCATTAAGCATTTCTTAGCTGTAAGACAAACCTTCTCTCGCTCCTCAGGTGAGAGGCGCACATTACGGGAGCTCATAGCTAGACCATCAGATTCACGTACAATTTCTGAACCAATTATTTTAACCGCAAAATCAAGATCACGAACCTAAAATAGACCAGCAATCAACAAAAGCACCCAAAGAGTTACTAACATTATGTAATTTTGCTTCTTGGTGATGAGTCATCTAATACAAATTAATCAAAAGCAGGAAAAAAGTGATAAATTAAACATTCACTAATGCTGCATATTATGCAGATATTCCTTCATATAGGCATGAACAATGACAAAGATTACAAGTCGATGGAACGCTAATAATGTCATCCATCGATCAAGCAACATGCAGTTGACAACACAATCAAAGTTTTTGTTCTATCTGAGTCCACAGTTAATAGTGGTCCAACTTAGCCATTAGTGAACACATTTGGTGACATTAAGAGTCATGAACCAGATGTCTTGAGAAGTGGGGGCCATCATCACAGGCTATATAAAAGGGGTCCACCAAGTAATGCATTAATTGAGTGTAGACATTTATGAACCTAAGTAATGCACATTTATGGAAAAAAACAATACTAACTTTTTCACCTATTTATGGTGCCAAAGAGCATATCACAAACTAAACAAACCAAGTGTGCTTTCATAATTCATTGCTATTCCGATTAAGACTATTAGGCCATCTACACAAATAATATCCCATTTCGTCCCTATCTACACAAATCAAGCTTATGTTTTTCAACCTATCAGATGTGAGCCCAACAAAGAATGTATGAACAGCCAGAAATCTGAGAGTTGACCATTATGGTCAAATATGTTTAACCTTTTAAAGAACACAGGAGAGTTAAGCTAAGATAAGAGTCTAAGACAACCCAAGCTTATGTCTTTTTACATATTAGATGTGAGTCAAACTAAAGTTGTGATGGGCACCAAATGTGTCACGAGTCATGTTTCATAGATGGAGTGTTGAGTAGTGAAAAACATGTTCAAAGTTAGTATAATATAACTGAGATCATTATAGTGGTTATATGAGTTTATTAGAAAAGATAGAATATGGATTATTTCACTTGTAAACAATTAGGCATATCACAAATAAATAATAATGATGAAAAATCATTTAAGATGGTACAAATATTTTCAAAGGAGAACAATAGATTTTGTGCTTAGACGGAATTTAATCAGGATAAATGGTAAGAGGAGAGAAACAAGGAGTTGAATGCTCTTGATTTAAGTAGAATTATTGCCATAAACATAACCACAAAAAAGAAAATCTATGTAGCCAACCCTAAAGGGTTGGAACATTATGGCTTGTAGTCGTTGATGTTTTTCCAGGTCAATGACTTCATACAAAATGCAGAATTTGAGTAGGTCATCCTATTTGGTGTACACCTATGGCAACATCAACGAGTCTAGCATTCACAATAAACTGTTTCCCTCTGGTTCAGCTAAAGTCACAATTCTTGTTCTCTGTGAACTGAACTAAGACGAAAAGGAGAAAAAAACTGCAGAGGAGGTAACAAATCTCGGACATACCATTCGACAGATGATGCGCCATTGTTGATAGTCCTTCTTGCCGAAGACCGCGATATCGGGTTCCACGATATTGAACAGCTTGGCCACGATGGTCGCGACCCCTCGGAAAAAGACCGGCCTGCTCATCCCGCACAATCCGCGCTCGAGCTTCTCCACCCGGACCCAGGTCTCGTGCCCTGACCCATCACCCGCCGCCGCCTCGAGGCAAGACACAGGCGAGCCAGAAGAACCGATGGCGCCTTCAGTCCTCCTCGCCTGAACATCGCCACGGCCGCCGCCTTCACCATAGTCGTAGAGGTTGGTGGGACAGAAGACGGCGTGTACCCCCAGGTCGGCAAGCTTGTGCAGGTCGCCACGGAGGTCGGCAGGGTAGGCGTCGAGGTCTTCTGAAGGAGCAAATTGGCCGGGATTGACGTAGATGGAGACGACGGTGAGGTCCGCAAGGGCGCCGGCGGCGCGGACGAGAGCAAGGTGACCCTCATGAAGGAAGCCCATGGTGGGGACGAAAGCCAGCGTCTTGCCCTTCGACCGATACGACCGCGACCACCGCCGCATCGCCGTCTTGTCCCTTATCACCTCCGGTTCACTGGCCATCGACTCTTCCTCCTCTCCTCTCCGCTCCTCTACCTTTCCTTTCCCTTACACGGCGGCGGGGTTGCATTGAAGCGAGGCCCACCAACAACGCAAACCGTTATGTGGTGTTATGGCGTTATATTCTGCGTCAATTTAACAAAAATACCCTGGACATCCCACCAGCTGTCACGTCCGGCTCACTATGAGGCGGCGCTGCCCGCCCTTCCCCCTTCCCCACTCTTCCCTACGGACGGAGGTGTCGGCGAGGGACAAAGACGAGACAACGAGGCTGAGGTCCTTGATGTTGCAGGATGCAACGTACCTGATCCAGCGCTTGAAGTCGACATTGTATCGGCGGTCGAGAGGGAGGGCAAAGCGGAGTGTGTCGATCCGACGCCCACGACCATGCTCGATGAGGAACCGATCGACGCCCGCGTCAAAGTCATCGGCGGATGCAACGACGGTGTGGGGGGAGAGGTCAAGGCCGACAGGGTGGGGCTAGCGGTGGCACTAAATGCCGCGCCACCGAGAAGAGGAGGAGAAGGGGGAAGGAGAAAAGAGGAGGCACTGCTAAAAGCCCAACATTGAGGACTTTTCTAGATAAAATATCTAATAACTGATACGCTTAAATTGTTGAGATTAATATATTTCTTTGATGTTTTATGATCTATTCTTTCAATTTGTTTTTTATTTACTTTAAAGTTCTAACATGAAGAAACTAAAATTAATGGATGACAAATGGTCCATAATAAACAAATAAAAATTTCTTTTCTCATAAATAATTTGGTATTGATTGGCACAGTAAGCATTTCCAAATGGTGCAAAATTTAGATTTTTTTTGTGTGTGTAAATGTATATACTAACATCAAGCATTATGAGCACAATCACTAAAGAAGACCGTAAACATGATTAATACTAAATAACTTATTTGACAAAATGCATCTCCAAATTGTCTAATAAATTTAAATGTTCTTATAAGTTGCACTAAACACCTTGAAACATGAGAATTGACAACATCTAGACAAAGGTAGCAAGAGAACTTAATGAACCACCAAATCAAAATTTGCAAACCACCCAAGTTTGATATTTACATCTGATAACATATGGTTTTTCCTATTTCAGTGAAAGAAATTTCTAAAGCCATACAACATCATGAAGGTGGCTCAACTCCTACGAGCGACTACCAGATTGCATACTGTTTATCCCAAAACAAGAGTTGCATAAATTCTATCTATCATATATTTTTGGGTGTCTCCTCATGGTAAAGATGCAAGCCGAAACCAAATCGAGCACAGGCTTTGCAAAATGCTAGTTCTTCGGCTGCTGCAAGTGGATCTTCAAACCGGCCATCGTTCAAGGACACTGTTGCTGTAGACTCCCTGTGTATCTGCAATTGTACAAGCATAAGCACACAACATTTAGGGAACCTGACAACTTGTTTCGATTAGCAATTCTTTTCTCGGTGAAGCTTTCGGCAGATTATTTATATCTAAAATGAATATGTCCAGATTTCTTCTAATATCTGTCTTAAATCTTGTTAGGTCAAAGTCAAACTCCATGCAATTGTAGTGTTTCATCTATTTGTTAGACAAATGTCTTTGGAAATTTTTTATGAAGGTCATTGGAAGGTCCATGATATAACAACTCAAATTCAAATATGCAGAAAAGATCATTCATTTGAAATTTCAGCATGTTCCACTGTGCAGCCAAATGTGCCAACAGTTAGGTGTTCCAAATCTATGATAGAAAAAGCGAAACCAAATGTAAATGGCCTTAAAATATCTTGAATAGAAAGAGTGACAGAACTGAGAATTTCCTGAAACCAGATGCATGTTCTCATATGGTTCTGACAAGGTTATTACTCTTAAGGCTAAATTTGATCTGGGAAAAATAGAAAATGTCATTAGTTAATATTTTCAGTGATTATTTTGCTATTCCTTGTTTAACACATTTTTGTTGAATGGAAGTAACACACAGAATATCGCACCACCATAACCAGAAAAAGGCAGCATGAATAAATTAGGCTGAACACAGACCCTATCTGAATCGGAATATTGCATGAGACCCAGGGCAACAGTATTTTGCAAGTTAAAGCAGCATTGACTATATTACACCAAACACAGACAAACCCATCTATATCAGATTATTGGATGAGATAGATGTCAATTCTATGCTTATCCAGAAATGTTCCTCAACTAAATGTAGCCTACAATATAACCATGAGTTGGAGCAACAATAATTTGCAAAAACTCTTCAAGTTAAAGTTCCAAGGGTCAACCTACATATTTGTGAAACTTAATAACCCTTGAAGCACCTGATGGATGGTCCAAGTCCAATATAACCAAGGATTGAAATATCGTACCATACCGGAGTTTCGACCTTCTGTCGGTATGGTACGGTACTTTATACTGAGCAGTATACCGTTCGTTATATATATATATATATATATATATATATATATATATATATATATAATTTTTAAAAATTGTGCGACGTCATCTCTCTTCTCCCCAGGAGGGGCGACGACGCGTTTATATATATATTAAATAAAAAATACCGATCGGTAGCGAGCGTTCCACGTACCGGTTTTCTGTCGGACCGGTACACACTGCCCGTACCGAGTGATATTATTCGAAACTGTATACCTTGAATATAACTATTGGAAAGAAACTTTATAGAGCACTCAAAAGCTGGTTTATCATAAAAATTTGCTAATAAATATCTGTGTTTTCTAAAGTTGCATTTTGAATTAGCACCTGGAAACCAGATTGTTGGACATGCTGCATATAACCCTGATATAAGTTGTACTTGTAGGACAATCCTAGTCTCAACACTCAACTGCCAGGGTAGGTTTCAGTCCACTGCATTATTTTGAGCCAAAACCGCAGACATGAATCACTTGAAATCAACAGAACAGCCAAAACCAATGAGACCAATCCCAACCCTATCACAATTTGACACTAGAATACCAGACATGGAAGTTTTTCATTAGAACCATGAACCCAGTTTGGTTGCTGAAACTACTGAGACTTGACCTGAAAGTGCTGAAACCACTTTAATAATGGATGCACTTTTTGAAATTGCAACAACTCTTCCTCATAGGCCCCCAAGAAGCACAAAAACAGAAAAAATTAGGATACAGAAACGGCAAGGACTCGTGTGTGTGTGTGTGTGTGTGTGTATATATATATATATATATATATATATATATATATATATATAATTTGATTAATATGAATTTTATAGTATTTATATATTTAAATTTTTATAGATCCAGTAATGTGAATAAATAAATATCATCATGCAAGTTTAAATAATTAAAAACAAATAAAACTAAATATCCATCTAAATCTAAAGATTCATGACCCAACTAATGTATTAGCCAAAAATAACCATGTAAAATCGGAAACAATGCAAAACCTTTAACAATACAATGGCACTCTTTAATTTTCAAGATAATGCAAAATCTGAAACATAACAATAATATTCTAAAATAGGTTAATAATATGTTAACAATTTAATCAACAGTAAAAACCCAGATTAAAAAATAAAAATAAAATCAGTCAAAAAAATGTTAACAATATAATCAGCAGTAAAAAATCCAGATTAAAAAATTAAAAAAATACGCTAATAATATGTTAACAATTTAATCAGCAGCAAAAAACCCAAATTAAAAAATTAAAAATTAAAATATGTTAATAATCAAAATAAGTGTTTTTTTTGTAAAAATTCTAAACAAAATTAATTTACTTTCATCGAGCGTCGAACACCACTTAGGAAGAAGCTTCACGGATGCTGACGAAGTCGCTGTGGGCCCTAGAGTGCGTGGCGGTAGTGCAGTCACGGCAAAAGGGGGCTCGGGCAGGAGGATTCAACAGCACAATAATAGCATGATTGTAGCAGAGGGTTTGGTAGCGCAACGGTAGTGAGGTCAAGGCAGAGAGAGACTTGTGGCAAAGGGTCCAACAATGCCAATGGCGATGCCATCGCGGCAAAGGTGGACTCGAGGCGAAGGGTCCAACGACACGATGATAATGTGGTTGCAGCAGAGGGAAGCTCGGGGTGGAGGGTCCAACAATGCGACAGCAACACACGACGGAAGAGAGGGGGGCTCGGGGTGAAGGGCTCGGCAACACAGTGAGGAAGAAGGGTTCGATTGAGTTTTGATTAACATCGATCCTCTCGAATCCATGAGAAGGATCTTGGACGCCTCCCGCTTGTAATGAAAAATCTAGGTTTCACGACGCCTTCGCTCTGCTTGCGATGAGGAAGAGTCTGACACACAATCTTGTAACCAACTTAATTAAAAATAAAAAATAAAAAAGGATTTCATTGGATATATGTCAGACACGTGTCCAGCCATGTCAACAACAAATCCGTGTCCGACATGTGTTTGTGCTTCATAAATAGGCCCCAACACAACATAGTATTAAATTACCATTAACCTCAGATCATATAAATTTGGATATTTATCACCTTAATTCAAAGAACACTGCTATCACAAAAAGGAAAACAATCTTCAGCCTATCCAAGCCTCTAAACATATTCAAACAAATCATACAATCAACATCTTAATAATTCACATCAAACTAAACAAAGAATGATCACAAGGTTTGTAACGCAATGCACAAAAAAGTTAGTTCACATAACCCCCTCAAACTTTTCTGGGATGCCAGTTGCATTCGTATATGCACTCCCCCCTAGAATCTTACAACTATGAAAGTGAAGTTTCACTCTATATTTTAATGCATTAGATTGATCAAACTATGTTTTCATGCATTCTCACTACCTATCATTTCGATGTGCAAAAACATTCACATAACTCTATTTCTACGGTGAGCCATGGAAAATATTAAGTTGACTTATCATGACTTGAATGTCAAAGATTCACAGGTAGAAATAGCATCTGCACGTGCTGGGTTAAGGATGAGAACAGACTCATCCTTTTGAGATCCTGTATTAGCTAGAGCCTCACATAGTCGACTGCTCCTTTTCCTATATCATTGCCAACTAGTATTAAACATGTTAGGCTTAGGCTATTTGAATGAAAGAAATTCCTTGAATTGATAACCAGGAAAAAATACAAATATTGTTACTTGATCTGTATAGATCTAGTTGTTGTCGCTATCAAGAAGTTTCTATGAACTGCTATACATGTATCTACAAACATGACAAAGAATTGACCCAAACATTTGTCATTCCTAACAGGCTAATTAACTCTTATCCAGTTTTTCAAATAGAATATGCAGATGAACTCCATAAACATTTCAACTTCAACAGAACAAACCACTTCCCAAGTCCAAACATCGTATGTGTAACTTTCAACTCATTCAACTATTGAACTCAAAGAGTCATCTTGCCCACAGCATCAAAGTGACATCATTAACTCCTTAAGTAACCAACACATTTCTAAAATAAGACTTACCCCTAAAGAAGGACATCGGTGTAAATGGCATATTTATGATAATGACGATGAATTTCAAATTGCAAGCCAAAATAAAATCACATTTTAAGTTGTAATTTATTGCCTATACATAATTTGCTCAGTTATCTAATCCTTGTAAAATGGCTTGCTTTCCCTACATAATCGGGCCCCAATAAAAGTTAGTCCTAGTTGACTCAAGCATGGCAAAACCTATTAAATCTCTTTGTTAACAGGTCCATTATTTAACACATGCAATTCAGCAACATTTACACCATAGTTTGTAGATGTCTGGAAACATAAATAACATAGCTTTTCATGTACATGTTTATATCAATTTGCAATTACCCCCAACACACTCACTGTTTACACTTATTCTAATTTTTGCCGGCACCGTGCATTGCACAGGTGCTAAGCTAGTCATCCAAGATAGAAGATGCCAAAGCACAGGGCTCTCTCATAAATTCTTTAAAAAATTATTACTGTATTGGTTGCAATTCATCTTATATAGGACTTTCTTTATACTAGACACAATGATTTAAAAAGCGCTAGGCGCTAAAAGGCGCCAAGGTCCAAAAACGCCCAAAGCGCTAGGCGCTCGCCCGAGCGAAACGAGGCGCTAAAATATAAAAATATATAATATAATTAATAAATATAATTATTTAAAATTTTAAATTAAAATATGCTATTAAATTAAGAAAATCTATTAACAGTATTGAAAATTAATAATTTCAAATAAACCTAACAATATTAACAGATATACAGTATACTGTATACTGTTAACAGAAGGAGAAGAAGGAAGTGTAAGGGGGTGCTGAGCCTGCTGACTGAGAAAAGAGGAAACGGCAACGGAGTGTAAGGAGGCAACGGCGACAACGGCAGCGGCGAGCAACGGGAGGCGCGAGCAGCGACAGCGGCGAGCAACGGCAGCAGGAGCAGGAGCAGCGAGCAGCGGGAGGCGCGAGCGGCGACAGAGGCAGTGTTTGTGAGCAGCAACAGCGGCGAGCAGCAGCAGCGGGAGCAGGAGCGGCGAGCAGTGGGAGGCGCGAGCGACAACAGAGGCAGTGTTTGTGAGCAGCGACAGCGGCAGCGGGAGCAGGAGCGACGAGCAACGGGAGGTGCGAGCGGTGACAGAGGCAGCGTTTGCGAGCAGCGACAGCAGCGAGCAGCGAGATCGAGATCGGGATCGGGAGCGGCAGCGGCAGCGGCGAGGGTTAGGGTTGGGTTCTCACTTATATCGATTTTAGTTGATTCGATTAAACCAATTAACCATCAGAGACCGAACCAGGACCGAACCAGACCTAAAATCCTGGTTCGGTCGCCTTGGTTAACCCAGGCGCTCGCCCGAAGCGCCCAGGTGGCGCCTGTTTGAAGCGCGCCGCCTGGGAGATTAGCGAGGCGCTCGGGCCTCGCCTCGCCTCGCCCGAGCGCCTAGGCGAGCGCCTTTTTAAATCACTCCTAGACAGTTACATATGTTATCTCAAGAGATCTATCAAGCATTTAATAGTCAATATAATATGATAATATAAAATAAGCTAAGCTAATGATAAGGAATTTCCCACTTATAGAAGGAAATATTTAAGGCCCTTAAAAGAGTTAAGGCTGTATCTTGTTCAGGATTTTTCAGCAATTTCACATGTATTCCCTTGAATATCCAAATTTCTCAACATCTAGAAAATTCCTTTTACAATTGTCTTTTTAGTATTATCAACCATGCACAAGTTACCTTTTACTCATGTACTTCACATGAGTAAGAAACACATTTAATGACCTTTTTTTCTTACATGTAGAAAAATTACATCATGTCCATGTCCTAGGTTATCAGATCATGGTCATGACCTAGGTTACCAGATACGCCACTATCTCACTTCTATTGGTGCTTTGTACTATAGTCCTATTCCAAAGCAAGCTGTGGGTTTGAGATAGTTGACAGTTTCAGTGGTTGAGGTAGTTTTAGGTTTCAGCAATTGAACTTGTTTGGGAATGAGTTCCAGCAGTTCTGATACCAGTCAAACTAATATGGGGAGAATCTGTCTACATTATGAATTACAATAAAATTTTTAGATTCATTCAATATTATTTCGTATATGAACTTAAAAAAGAATAAATGTGTGATGATACATGAAGCATTTAGAAGACACAAGTTCTTAGACACAGAAAAATAAAGATCTTATAAAACTAAGAAATAATTTGTGTTAATAGATTTTGCTATTTACTCTCTCCAGTTTAGGCACCTAAAGAATGGGTCTTGCTACCATCAATAATCAATTAATAACCGGTAGATGCTCTAAGGTGTAAGGACCTTTTGAGTCTGATTGGAAGGTCCCAACCTATCATGCTAACCCAAATTGCTCAAGCAATCTAGGAGTTTGAATGAAAATATATGCATGTGGCAAACATCTATCTTATGGGTAATTGCTTAAAACCTCCAAGATTTCAGGTTTGCCATCTTCATGCCATAAGATGGTCTGTTACATATTCATGCTTTTTTTTTTGTTTAAACAGGCCTTTTTTTTACTCCAAGTGGTAGGAACCAGCATACGATGTTATGAAAACATAGTGCATCATACCCATGATATTGAAGGATAAATTTAGTAATTTACATCGCTTTTTTTCATCGTGATACTATGTATCCAAAACATCATATGCTGGGTCATTAATCATTTACATTTGGACATAAATAGCACTATTTATTAACGAAAAAAGGATGCATTTCAAAAAAACAAAAAGGAAAAGAATTTGCAAGTATGAAACTATAGAAAATTGGGCTTTTTCTGCAATTGACCTTTATTATTTAATGTTATTAGCACATATCAGGCCAGGCATTTTCACCTCTTCTGTTTTCGATCCTCGATTTTTGTTGGCTAAGAGGGACACAAGGAGTTAAGAAGCAACAGAAAAATGAAAGTAGAGGTATGGATCAAATATTTCAACTTTAGCATTGTGACCAAGATATTCTCTTCCAAACAATCAATTAAATGGTGAACAATCTGGAAATAATATGAAATAGCAGTTTCCAGACAGGTTTAGTATATGGATACAAGACACAATTCTATGAGAACAGATACAAAGAGGTAGACATCTTAAATTCGAGCATTCCATCATATTATCAGACTAGACAAGGAGAGGGGGAAAAGCATGAAATGAAAGGTGTTGTATAGGCAAGTACCTCCCCATCTAATCCTCGTACAGTAACACGATACACCACAGTCACATGATTGTCTGAAAACTCAATAGCACGTACTTCTCCACACCAGCCTTGTGATGCAAAAGCAGCAAGAAATTGAGTCAAAAATCAGATTATATATGATGCTTGGCTGCATTAAAGTTGATGATAATTATGATCGCCTAAATTCAAGAACAGATATTTATGAGAGTATACACACAAGAGAACTGCCAAGAAAACTAGGCTTTTATCTCAATGTCCCAGTAATAGATTTTCCAGTTGGTTGATTGGTAAATAAAATTTTCGTGGAGTATCCTTCAGCACCAATTACCAGACAAGAGTAAATAATATTGTAGAAATAATCAAAAGAAAATACTATCTGCAATGGGATTTCGGTCCTAAGCTACCTAATAACTCATATGAAACACTATATACCAATTATAAATCAGCAAACAGACAGAGAAATTTGATTGACAGAAACATTAACAGAACTTTGCAATCACTTTAATCATGAATAAAAAATATAGGTAACCAAGTTAATTTTATTGCTCAACTTTCAACCAGACCATCTTATTGTTGTAGTTCATTAGAAAATACTCCCAAGAGTCAACAATCAAAGAAGGCATCAGAGTGAATTTCAATATTGTACTCTAAATTAGGCATGTTGCAATAATAAGAGAAATTAACAATGTAAATTATGTTATACTACACTGGCTGTGGAAAAACACATGATACAAAATCAATCATAGAAGATATGCAACTTAAAATACTCCAATTTTGCACATGGCATAGGACAAATTGAAAAGGGATGTATCGACAAAGGAAGAGAGATTCACCTGGGGCATAGAAGCTCAGCATTCTATTAGCATGATACCTACAAAAACAACCATACAGTGTTATCCCATTAAGCATACTTGATCCAGCTACAAGTTAAACCAAGAAGCAATCATAGACAGAAAATGGGTCAACTGTGAAAGTAAGCAAAATAAAACAAACAAAAGAAGAAAAGGTAAGATTTAAATGAATGAATGTTGCATGTGACTTAATTTAATTTATTCTTTATTGAGAACAAAGTTGAGTAATGGGGTCATGCAAAGTATACTCCTCATTACCATTTTAAAAAGGTATACTTCTTTATCTCGATTATTATGGTTCTTTCTTTTAACTTACTCCAAATGTATATGAATGAACACACACTGAACAGCAGTTCTAAATTCTATGCCACAAATTAATAATTTTGCGAGCATATTGAGCTACTACATAGCAGGAACTTTATGAATTTTGCAGATGTTCAGAATGCGCTCATAAGCATGAAGTTCTAGAGCATCTAGAGCTATGTTTGAATGCCCTAAGTATGTTCAACAAAATAAACAGAGATCGTTATTGAAAAATAGTAATAAAAAGCAGAACATGAGGATAAAAGGCTTTGACGGTAAGAAATTTGATTTACCTTAAAGAGAAGATGGAAAGAAAGATAACAAGATGACTTCAATTGTCCTAAGTACACAACATTAACAGGCCATACATAATGTTCCAAACTTTCATGGTCATCTACTTAGATCTTCTCCAGCCAAATCTCATTAGTAAAAATTAAGAGTAATAGGACCTTCTTCTATTTTTTCTAGTACAGTTTTCCTTGGCTTACTTCCTCTCCTTGCACCACTAATCTTAATCAACTCACCTTGACTCAGACTAACTACAACCTCTATTCTTTGAACATATATTTATCACATAATGTGTTTCTTTTCATTTTATTCTCTATTTTAGCTATACTTATCGTTCATGATGAAACATGTTTATTTCATCTTCTCTAATAACTCAGCACATCTACTTCAACATTATTATCTCGATTAAACTAACTTTTTATAAATGTTGTTCTTAACTACCTAGTACTCCACCATGTAAAGCATGGTTGACCTTATAATTATTTTATAATTTTTCCTTTTAATCTTAAGGACATACAACTATCACAAAAAATTCGTGAAGTCCCCTCCAATTAGCCACCTCCTTTAACTAAACAATATCTTCATCAATTTCTCTAAATGATCCAAAATGCCTAAAACTTCTACTTACAAAATCTTATCCATTCTTCTTAACCACAGCCTTGGTTTTTATCTTAAAAATGTTAAAATTACATTTCATATGTTTGATCTTAATCCTACTCAGTCTAAAGTCTTTAGTTTAATATTTTCCTCATTAACTCAAGTTTATGACTGATACCAACTGAATTTTTATTAACCAAAATAATATGATTTCAAATTAGACAAACACATACCACATTCACTGAAATCATACACAGTAATGTGAGAAAAAGGAGTGGCAGAATCAAACAAAAAATGACTATAGTAAAATCTATTCAAGTTTACAGTAAGTCTCTGGTTCAATATGATGCAAATATTTAGCCTCATACAGGTAGAGGTTTGAATAAGGTTGTCTAACATAGATGTATTTTCCAAATGAATGTTCCAAATGAAAATTTTCAAAACAAGACTTCAATCAAGCAAATCAATTAGCACACAAATCTATTCACAAGTATAACAAATATGAGCTAATGCGATAATAAAGTACAGAGAAAGAGCAAGAGAGGAGAGAGAGAGAAGTAATCTGAATATGAAATTCTTATACCAACAGCTGCTTACATCCACCTCATCAATTAACACACAAGCCTATTAACAGACAGATCTTCCAAGCTAAAAATAAGATTTTATGTGAAAAATATGTCACAAATTTATCAGAACAAAATTCTATAGACAAGCATGTAGATAATGAGATATAAAACTCAAGCATAAGAAGGAACCTGAAGTAAATCCTTTTGATCCTTCAAAAAGCCCAAATTTTAAGCTGTAAAGAATACATAGTTGAATAGCACCAACCACTCAATGAATCTTGGTCTTCTGGACCAAAGAATACTCAACCAACTAGACAGTAGCTCACTGTAAAAAGTCTTGATGATCAATCTATCAAAAACAAAAGCTCAAATTGTCCACCTATGGTCATTGTCTTTATCTAACACAACTGTTCGTATAGGCCTAATATGAGCCACACCACCCATGGGAGACTTGGACCACATGAAGCTTGGACACTAATAAGCCCTTTCATGAAGCCTGTTATTACAGCACCTAGGTTGGGATTGGCCCACTCCCTGACCCTCCCTGGACCTCCCATTGGTAGGAGACTTCAGACTTGTACACTGGATCAATCTTTCTTATTTATCTCTTATCATGTTAGTTGGCTTCTAGTTATCCATTATGTTAAGTTTTATACTCAATCAATTTGTTGAATACTAAAAAATCTTACTCAACAATTTACGTAATGCAATGTCATAAACTAGTTAAGGCTAAAAGCCTGTGTCCCTAGAATAAGTTACTCCAAGGTAGTTAATCAATTGAATTATATATATATACATATATATATATACATATATACATATATACATATATATATATTTGTGTGTGTATATATTAAAACAGTCTTGCCAACTGAATATGCTACATTCCAAATTTCTAATTGGGGTGGGATGCTACTATCCACTGTGTTTGAAGGATGTGGTTATATTTTGCCTAAAGTTATCCATATTTTGAATTTCATATGATGGATGAAAATGTTATTTATGCTAAATTTACAATTGGTTCTGCCTGTTGGATGACGCTCAGATACATGAGGAAGGTAATTGATCTATTATGTCTCTCTTTCACCTCATTCATTGTAACAACGCCTTTGAGTTGGTAAACCTAATGGGGAAGGTTTTTCCTAAATTTTTTTTACATTTTTCTATATATTTTTCACTGCATATCAGGTTCCATGAAGTAATTGATCTTGTTTGATCATTTCTTTATAAATGCCATCCTCCTACAGAAATCATTTTGATGGAAGCACAGAGTTAGAATCATTATCGATTTTGTATGTGCAATTCTACTAATCTTATTTTTGCTTTATTTTTATAAAATATAAAGATATAAATAGTTTATCTTATCAATAATCAAAGGGTTAAAATGGACTCTCTAAGCAAGCATGGATACTTTTTTTTAATTGATGATAGACCTTGCTGCTTATCATCTAGCAGATAGTTAAAATTTTAAGAGGCAAGAAACAACATTACCCTCCATCTTCGCAATTTAAATGAGGCACCTGATGATGTAGTCCTGGGATTTTGGAAAATGGTAGAGGGGATAATTTTTTTAATTTCTGATATTGACATGATCAGCTTTACAAACGTTTGATATGACAAGCTATCATTCAGATGTTGTGACAATATTAAAAAAAAAAGTAGAATTTTATGATGTTAAGAGATAACAGAAAAAAATATATTATTGGAAAAACATCAGGAGAAAGGAAATTGAATTTTCGCGGAAGAGTAAATAAGAGAATAAGCAAGAAAGAAGCAGAAATGAGGTAGAAAGAATAAAGCAGTTGTTAAAGGGATAATGATTGAAAGGGAAAAAATCTTTTCTCCATGCATTATTACCCAACAATTCCAGCGACGCACGGCCTGACTAAGCTCTTGATTTAGGAATTTTAAAGTAGGAAGACAAAGGCCATCGAATCAGGCTTTATCGAACTCAGCTGACAAAAGAAAAGCCATGGATGACCAAACATACGTTGCTTGGTCTGCAGTAGCACCAAAGAGCCAGCTATGGTAGAGGAGGGGCTTCGCCATGGATGACCGTAAATTTAGGCACCGGCTCGAAGTCAAAGTCAACTAATAGGCAATCGAGATCAAATAGGTCCGGAATCTAGGCTAAATCCTGATCGAGAAGGAGAAATCAACCGGTACAAACGCAGTGGAGAGTTCGATGAACGGTAAGAAGAAAGAGATGGGAGATACCAAGGGACGGAGTTGTCAGCGGCGTTGATGATGTTGTCAGGTACTCGCTTGTTGAGGTCGCGGAGGATCTCCTTGAGGGGGCGAATGAAGGAGGGCGTCAGGTCGAGCGGCACGACGTAGTTGGAGTTGGGCACACCTCCGCCGCCGGTCTTCTTACCGCCGTTTCCCGACGCCCCGGGGCCTTTATCCAGTGCCGCCGCCACAACCGGCAACACCGAGGGCCTCCGCCACCGCCCGCCAGACGCCAAGAAAAGCCGCGCGTCCTTGACGGCGGTGACGGCGGTGGGAGGAAAGGCCGATCGAGCGAAGAAGAAGGTGGCTCCGGTAGATTCCATCCGACGGTGAAGGAAGGAGACGGAAGAGCGAAACGGGGAAGAGGCGACGCGGAGAGAAGGGGAAGACCTCCAAGTCTCCCTCGTCGATGTGTGGAGTGTCACCTCTCCACACAAACAACAGACGTTTCTATTTGGTTCTGTTGCGCCGATCAAACGAGCACTTGAAAGTGCTATCTTCTCCGTGTCGATCAAGTGACGCAAGTAGTACGTGACTCGCGGCCGAGTGAGTCCATTTTTGGGACCCGCTTAAGGGCCTGCCGATGCGTCCAATCACAAGCCAGAGGATGTTGGAGGAGTATGCATTGTGGTATACGTCGACTTGTAAACCAAACTGGTTACCTTCCCGAAGCCGGCCCCACGCCTCCGCCATCGCTTGGCCATACTTGCAGGAGCAATATTCTTTTCCTACCCGTTTACCTTTACCCGGTCCTGTCCCTGTCTTTTAACAACGCTGGAGCCCGTCTAGCTTCTAATAACAACCGGGTATAATCCGGGTGACGAATTCGTGTAATCGCAACACCTATCCTCTGTATTGTTCCAACGTGTCTGACGTGCTCTCTCCTCGCAATTAGGATTACGATGAAATCCGGGTTAACGGGCATCCATGATGCAAATATCTTGGACCGTACACGTCTCAGCTACATGTGTGCTGATTCGTGAGATATTGTGGGTCCGCTGGGTCCCATCGAAGAAACCGAGTCTTTTTTTTGGGTTAGTGATTAATACACCATAATTGAGTTTTAAGTGACTCCATATTATATTTATATATATATATATATATATATATATACATAATCTTGAAAATTAAGATTTAATTATGGTATGAACATTTGTTGTATTTTAGTATTAGATAAAGAGAGGATGTGAGCAAATTCAAGAGAGGAATCTTATACTTTTTGTCAACGTTCGCAGTATCGTACCGTACCGGTATTTCGATCTGGGTTCGGTACCGATACGATACGGTATACCGAGCGGTACACCTGAGTGTACCGAGTACTGTACTGTAGCAGTGCTACAGTCACTGCTACAGTGCTATAATGTCTCGGATCGGTAACAGTCGGTCCGCATACCAAAAACCTGTCGGATCGGTATATACCGCCCGTACCGGGCGGTACAGCTCGGTACGACAGACCCTGCTTTTTGTAAAGGAAATAAATCTTTACAATTAGGGTCTCATCATTATATAAATTATTAATATATGTTTATGTTTTGATAATAATAAAAAATGAATTTAGTAAAAAAAGAAAAAAGGACAATATTCACTTATAAAATGTTGAAAGTTCAAAACATTAATCTCATTTATTAAAAATTAATAATTTAAATTTTTATTTGATATATTTTTTATACTTAAGATATTAATATAATAATTATGTACCACATATACTTATTGAAGATCGAAGGTTTGAAATTTAATCCAACATCTTTTTATACCTAAAACATGAGTATCATGGTGATACATTAAAATTATCTACTAAATGTTAAGGGTTTAAAATCTCATATGATATATTTTTTACATCTTAAATGTTTATCCAATGATAATGTGTAAGACTCGTTACTAAACATTGAGGATTTGAAACCTTATTCATAGATTTGTTACACTTAAAATATTAATTTTATAATACTTATCTAATTTATTTTTACATATTAAATATTGAACTAGTGGTTACATATCAAACCCTATCATCAAATATTGAGGGTTCGATATTTTATCCGATATATTTTTTAAGATATTATATATTTTAGCTAGTAAATATTTTATCACATCATTGTAACGCTTTCGGATCAAATCCTGTTTTCACTATTTATTTTATATAAAAATAAAAAATGATAATAGAAATATATAAATTCGCCCATATCATTTGAATTCAAAATTCTATCCCCATGATGAATTGCCATCTTATTCGATGGCTTTTTGGGATTAGAAATACCAATTTATATAAGAAATGAGAGAAAAATAACAAATAATTTTGATCTTATCTGGTTCGACCCTGGTTTATGTGTGATCCATGTCTGGAACTGGATTGGACTCGGTCACATCTCCTGTTCCAGCCAGTTGGGTTCACGAGATCGGATTCCATCAACGCGAAATCGGGAGTGGAGTTTATTTCTGCCGCCCGTTCGCTTGGTTGCCCACAGAAAGCAGAATATAGTAGAGCTCCGCGGTCGGAACCAGGGTTTTAGCAGCGCAGGGACGATGGTGAGGCTAACGGCGGACTTGATATGGAAGAGCCCTCACTTCTTCAACGCCATCAAAGAGCGCGAGCTTGACCTCCGCGGTAAGCAGCTTTTTCCCTCCTCTCCAGTCGGTGCCCCATGTTTTCTAGGGTTAGGGTTTCTCACATGCATTTGGTATGAGCAACTACTGCTTGCGAGTTTAATCCTGGTGCTGCTAATCGAGATTTCAGGTAACAAGATTGCGGTCATGGAGAACTTGGGCGCCACCGAGGTGAGTCAGATTCGACTCCTTTTCTCTTTCTCTCTCTCTCTTGTTCCACATGATGCTGTTACTCGACTGTGTTATCAGAATCTACCTTGAACCAGTTCTTGGAAGTCATATGTTAGTCATTAGTGGTCGACAGCTTCTCCTGACATGCATTTCTCGAGTTATTGACCTTATATCTCTCAAGATAGAATGGATGTTATTGTTCCCTGGTTTGAGTTTTGTTTCTTCATGTTGCTTATACAGACAATACCTTTATCAACAGTATAATTGCTGCTACGTGAGTCTTAAAGGATCACATTGTTGTTGGTTTGGGAGATTGAAGTTACTGACTGACAAAGTCTGTTTGCTTTAATGCACTAAGCCTCCTTGAATATTGTTAGGTGAATTGGCATAATTAGAAAAGAGCCTTGCCTTTGCGCTTTGGTGACTTCCTGAGATTCTTTTGATGACCTATCATGATTATATCCGACTTTGGCATGACAAAACTGGCAATGCAAAGTCGACGAATGATATTTTGTTCACTGTGTGTGTAGGCGGACATAGGAATTTCTAGAGTTGTTAGTTGGAATCTCGAAGGTAATGCCTATTGGCTAGGATGATTGGTTAGATCTTGGAGGCTATTCAGGTTAAATTAGTGGATTCCACTGGAGGTCATTTCCTTGTCACAGATTTTTTTGCAGGATTATATGTCTACTATTTAGGAGTTTGTTTCCTTTCTGAAAGCCAGGTAGACAAAGATTCAAGAGTATGTATGTGGCTGATATCAATAGGTGAATGACAGCATCCACAATGATTGTACTTTGAAATAGTGTTTAAATTCTCCAATAAATGGTTCCTGGATCAGTTGTCTGAGGAGGTTATGGCCAAGATTGAGAATCATTTGACATGTTTTTTTTAATGAATCCGTGAAATATGACCACATGTATTTTTATTGTTTTCTTTCAACTTTTGACTCTACATCTGTTGCTTCATCTATTTACCTTTCTATATGTATATTGCTGTTTTCCCTCTTCTCTTCTTCTTTAAATCTTAAGCTATGTGTTGATCTGTTAACAAAAAAATTAAATCTGCTGTTCTTCGTCACAACTTTTTTGTTCCTTGGTATCAGTTGATCAGTGTCCAAGCTAATTAGAAGTCTTTTCAATGACTAATAAGCCATTTCTTTCATTCTTTATGTTCTTATTTTTCCGTTAAAAACCTTTGTTTCTTGTACTATTCATGTGTCTGCTTTTATATATTTTTCAGCAGCATCAATTCTGCTTTTGCTTTCTAATAGTCTTAGCACTAGTCTGGGAGTGATCCATATTCTTTATTTGTTAAACTTAGCATCTCAGTTCAAGCAATTTCATATAAAGTTTAAGAAATTTAGTTTGAGTGAACTAGCTGTTAAATTAAGTTTTTTTTTACTGGTCTTGAGATCTGTTTCTTATTTTCATTTTAAGATTTTTTTTAGTTTGCTATGATGATTATGTTTTGAATTTTTTAGGATTGGTTTTTGGGTCTTATTTAAGTAGGATGAAAATCGGGGTTCCTTTTTGTAGTCATTGTTGGGATTTAAGTATTATAGTGTCTAAAATGTTTTTTGGTAGGTTAAATTTTGTCTATATTATTTAAGGGTCTTTCTTGGACTAGGAAAATATCTAGTTTGTTCTTTGTAAACTGGTCTGTGTAGATTAAAGGATGGTGATACTAGCGAGTATATGAAACTATGTTCTATGTGGCTAAAGATGAGAATTAAGAAAGTGACGCAAGGGTAGGGTTGTAATATACCTCTGTATTGTAGCTTTGAACCTATAAATTTTTTGTGCTCGGGGTAACAACTTGAAAATTTTATTATAATAAGCTGCATAATCCATAATTTGAATCTCGATTGATTACCGATCCAACCAAGCACTGATAGCCCTATTGGTTACTAAAACTGGTATGTTATTTAGATATAAATCCTTGGCTTATAGTCAACTAAATGCTCATATAATCCTTATGCGATAACTAAATCCTAGGGATCTTTCACTCTATTCATATGGTTCCTTCTCTCCTGTCCTCAGAAAGTTTAAGAAAATGGGTTTGGTGGTAATACATTTTTTAGGAAGACGCTGATGCAGTCATCTGTGACAGATCATAAAGGGTTTATAAATGTGAATTATATCAAAGACAATGTTAATGCATCCGAATGGAATGTTTTTCCGAGGATCCATTTGTAGAGCATGTTCAATGTGTGAAATAGATTTTAAAGAACAAAGAGCATGTCGATATCATTTGAAAGTGGTATTGCCCTTGATCTAATATGATTTTGAAGTGTTCATGGGGCTAGGTTGTCACTTGCTTCAAGATTGAGTAATATTGTTTTCAAATGAAGGTGCAATCTATGTCTCTCAAGCTAATGAGAGTACGAGGTTTTAAAAAGATGGACTTGATTATATTGATCCTCCCTAGAGCCATATCAGCAGCAGCTTCATCCATTGGATCACCTTTCTATCATTCCTTTTTTGAAGTTTGACTACTACTTTTCATTTAGATTTCAATTAAGGGTAATAAATCCAGCGGATGTCACTTGGAAATAATGGGCAGGTGAAATGAGAAGACTGCATCGTTTCTTGTGAAGAAAATGAAAGGTTCACGAGTCTATTTTCTAATTTTCTCTGTTTTTCCCTCAATAAACATAATCTGTTTATGCTGAAATTATCTTAACATAATTAATTTATTTTATGGATTCATATTGGTTATTCTTTAACTGGTAGAGTGTAGGTATGCTTGCTATCTGTTTTAAGTTATTTTCCTTGGG